TCAGACAAGAACACACTAGTTCTGTAAACAAAGAATAGACTACAACCAAAAAGGGGTGTGCTGTACTAATACACATGTGAAGTCCTGTGTTGGCATGTTGCAATCACTCAGGAATGTATAAGCCTCAGAAGTAATGAGGACTTCAAGTTTAAGAAAGTGAGGGGCTGATTAGTTTCAATTCAGTTTATTTATATAGCACCAATTCACAACACGTTGTCTCAAGGCAATTTACGGTTCACCAAATCATACAATCAAATTGATTCAAAGTTTTCTTGCTAAGGAAAACCAGTTGATTGCATTGACTCATTGACTGGAATGCAATCCCTCACACTAAGCATGGTTGTAGTGACAGTGGAGAGGAAAAACTTCCTTTTAACAGGAAGAAACCTCCAGCAGAACCAGGTTCAGTGAGCCAATAACTTCCTTCATAAAGCAGAACTTTGACCAGAGTCATGAACACCACAGTGCTGCCTTTGAAGCTCTGTACAGCTGATCAACAGCCTGTGGTGGTGACAGTAATTACAGGTAGGGTGTCTGTGTGAAACCTGAGGAAGAAAAACCTAACCAGCAGAGTTTAACACCTGAGCCCAACTCTACGGATGACTAAAACAGATGAGTGCTTCATGTCCAGCCAAGTCATACTCACAAATTTCTTTTTCCCATCTCCATCGTCGTCTTTTTTCTTTGATTTCTTTTCCTTCTCCTTCCTGGGTGCAGCAGATGAGCTCCCCGTGTTTTGATCCATATTAATATTTGACGCACAGGTCGACACGTGTAGCGAAAAAATGTTCCGTAACTTGGAGGGTAAAGTTTATTCCCAAAGCTCCTGTGTTAGTATCTCGGCAGGTTAGCCACAATTAGCAGAGGTCTGCTAATAATTTGGTAACCAGCCAAACGACCCCCCCTTTGCAAATCTACCCGTCTTTATGGCTGAAGGAGGGAAATTCAAAGCGCAAGCCTCGCTGCTCGGCTCTAGTGGCACGAAAACAACCTGTTGCGTCTGAGGAATACCAATGAGTATCTACCTCCGTTACTTCCTATAGTTTACACCATCCACGACGGTCACCGTGGTAATATTAAACCCCCAGATATGCGGCAGAGAAAAAGCTAACGTTAGCTGTGGCCGCGGTTAGCTTACGGGCTCCTGTAAGGAGTTAAAGCGGAACAAAAAAGCCTCCAGGACTGTTCCGCTGCCGCCAGTTTTTTTTGGCGACAACAACGCGGGTTCGGTTTTATAGATGCCCAGAATCGATGTTGTGTCCGAAGTTGGTTTCCATGGCTGTTCGACAAAGTTTAGGGAACTTTTTAACCCCTAGTTGACGAGAGGGAAGCGAGTAGTTCTCAGCGGTAGACTTCTTCCTGTTCTTTGACAGTCCTGCCAAGGGGGCGGAGCCATGCCAAGGGGGCGGAGCCTGCGCGCAGGCGCTGCACCTGAGAGGATTTAACTGACAGATCACTGCACTGCACTGATCAACACTTCTTCACGTGTTTACATCCCACTCAAAACCTGTGCAAAGATATACAACCGGAATTCTCTTTCATTTTTTAAATAATGTTTAACTTAAAATAAAGTTTAGTTCCATTAAAAAAAAATACACTTAAATGTTAAATTACCCATGAGTACCTAACAAAAGTATAGACTTGTTTGCATTTAGTTATATTACAACAACAAACTTCATTTTATTCGGTTTTATTATCATAGAACAAGACAAGCAAAATTGTGAATGGGAAGGAAAATGTTACAAATTAAAACTTAGAAGTATCAACATCTGAAAATTGTAACCACTTTTACAATCCCTAAGGGATGACCTACCAGCTCATATTATGCACATTAAAACTGGTGTTCAGCTGGTTGTTTTTTTTTTTTTGTTTGTTTTTTTTTTGAGGATTTAGCAAGCAGATTTGCATAAAAGTATTCATCTCTCATGTTTATTTTATGTTTTTTTATTATCTTGCTATAGCCACCACTCACAGGTTCTTAATCCTGGCTAAAAAAAATAGTTAAGGGTGAAAAAATGCATGTACAAAACAAGAGTATGTTTTCACACTCATGACAATGTTGATCCTTTGGAATGTAAATATTGTAAAATAGACATTTTAAGCAGAATATCCTAAACTTTGAACATTCCTTTAGGTCGTTCTATTTCCCTAATCTGAAAATGGCACAGCGAAAAACATACCAAGACATGGCACCCACATACACTGACAGGATAGGAAGCGTGATCATCTGTCAGAGAGGAGCGAAAATGGTATATTAAAAAATGTAAGTGCTGCAGAGATCCACAACTAAGGTTGGAGAATATGTGGAATATTGAGAACTAATATCTGAGCAGAGGTTTAACTAAGTAGAAATACTTAGTTATTGTGCTTAAGTAGCTTTTTATGTACCTTACTTAAATATTTGTACTTCTGAGAGCTTTTTACTTTTACTCCATACATTTGAACACATGTATTTATCTGTTAGTTTTATACATGTTTGATAAAAACAGGGGACAACAGCTGCAACAACACAGGAAAAATTAAGAGGGCTATAGAACCTGTCCAGCCCAGTTTGAGCCCAGTTTGTTTACCAAAAAAACTGATAATGACACGGATGAAGGGGGGGGGGGGGGCTGGGAAACATTGCAGACGAAGGATCGGATTCTGAGGCACACATTTACCTTTATTAGATTTGAAATGTAGGCTTCGATTTCAACTTTAACTCTATTTGCAACTATTGCGCTGTGAACAAACGAGCTCTAAGTATCCAGCTGTTGATGCAGGACCTCTGTTCGGTTCAGTCAATATTAGCCTGTCTGATATTTTAATTTAGAACAAAACTGGACCGAGTTAGAATTTATTTTAGGTTCTCTTTACCAGCACGGTGAGTAAAACAGGAAAACGTAACTTTTAAATGTGCATTGAATTGTTGTTTAAATACCAGTTTTCAAAATAGTATTTTGTATCCTTCAAAAAAAAAGGTTACTTCAATGTTTTTGTCTGTAGGTACAATGTAAAAGCTGTATTTATATTTTACCTTTAGTTTGGTAAAGGAGTTTAATCAGTACTTTAGTTTTGCCAGAGAGTTTTTTAAACCATTATTTGTACATTTAAGAAAATGAAGTAAATATTTTTAACATCCCCGTATTTTTACACAGGAATCCAGTCTTAATGGAACAATAGAAAGAAGAAAGTCAATATTGAGGAGACATAAAAAAAAAGATTTATAGTTGCTTATAAGCCATGTCAATGATTCAGTAAAGCTGTGGAGGAAGGTGCTCTGATCACAAGAGACCAAACATGTTTTGGTCTACATGACAAATGTGAGGTGAGAATTCAACTCTAGAAACTAAAGCAAATTCTGCACTTCACCCTGATCAATGCTTCCCCACAGGAAAATATGAGCGGGATGAAATCCTGTTTGTTGGGATACTTGTCTTTAGCAAAGGTGTGAAACTAACCCAAATTCATATGAGATTAAAAGAACTAAACCTATCACATCCTTAAAGGAAAACATGCTGCAGGCTGCACAAGCCAGGATGGTGTGCTGTGGTTCGCCTTCCAGTACAACAATTAATAAAACACCAAAGTTATGATGGGATAGTTTATATCAGAGCATTTTCATGTGTTGGAATCTCAAAAACATACATTTATAAAATGTATGTTATAAGGGGAGTGCGGGCCTAGAGGTTATGGCATAGAGCCGATTCCCAGAGACTGCGTCTCTGAGCAAGAGCCTTTATCCCACACTGCTCCCCGGACGCCCCACAATGGCAGCCCACTGCTCCCCAAGGGGATGGGTTACATGCAGAGGTAAATTTCTCCAATGTGAGATCAATAAAGTTCAATTATCATTATTATCTACAGCTGGACTTAGCTATCTGGTGATAAAATACAGAATTTTCAGATATGTCAGTGTGAAATCAACATTTACAAAGCTGGTAGAGACCATCCCTAAAAATATGTGGATGTAATAGTATTGAAAGGGATGAGAAAGCATTGATTTATTTAGGCTGACTACAAGCATCTGCCACATCTGGGATTTTTATTTTAATGAGGCAAATTTTCTTGTGCCTCTTTCCTTTAATTTTAAACAATGCGGGAATTTGTGTTAGTCAGTGAGTTTAAATTTCAACAAAACACACGGATGTAGCTGGTTTTATTGAACAAAATGCCAATAAAGTTCAAGGCCTATAAATACTTTTACACGGAAATGTATAAGCAAATGTCTGTAACCAAAACAGGCCATTTCATCTGTTTGGATCTGTGAGGAATTTCAGTCTCTTGTGCTGGAAATAAAATACTCTAAATAGCTTTAAAGTTAGGGGATCTTCAGAGGAAGGCAAAGTTTCCTCAGGAAATATCTGTTAGGTTTTTTTGTTATTTAATCCATCGTAAAACCTAAAATGTGAAAATGGTTTTCCTCAAAGCTCACTGTAAACCTGTGTAGAGGGATCTCACTCCATTTAGCTATTCCCAGTGTTTCTCTTTCCAAGGTAAAAGTGCATCCACTCCCTCACTATTCTCTTTCTTTCTCACCACTATAATCTTCATATAATCAACATCTGATTTTCCTTAGGTCACAGATTCCTTGACAGCAAAGATGGAGACGTTCTAATTCTTCATGTCTTAAAAAAAGATTAGTTAACCCTGGTGTTCTTTATCGTGAAAAGACAAACTGCACACCTCTCTTTTAAGGGATTCACTTTTCAGTCTCTATTATTTAACTTTTCTGTAAATATACTTATATATATCTTCCCAGCCTTCAGCAATTTGCTCTGCAACTTTGCTGCGCACACAAATAATAAGACCTGAAGCGCCACCTTGTGGTTGAAATGTAAACAGCGGTTATTTCCCCGGGCCCACTGTAGCAGAATGGGTTAATTTGGTTTGGTTAGATGTTTAGTTAGTTTGTTTCGATTTGACTTTACATAGAGTACAGCAACTGCAAATAAAATATATTTTTTTCATACATTCATTTCAAATCTGTCATGGTAAATCAACACCAAATTATGCCAAAGTACAAAATAATCATCCAATTCTTTACTTATTAAAACAAAACAAGAACATTTTCCTTATCAGTTGGATGGGAATCTCTGCCCTTCGACTTGATATTAGTTGAGACATATAGATGAAATTTGGACAGAATAAATGTTTAGTATTATTTTGCTGCATTTTTCATGGATATAACAAAGTATAATTGAGTGCATAACTTTGACTCAGACATACACAAACTTGTAAACAGACATAATCTCCTCTTTATCACTAACATTCAGAGAGAGACAGAGACAAGCCCATTTTATCTGTCCTGGTATGTGAGTGATGTTTCCCAATAACAAGTCTGGAAAGCCTTGAGCATCACCGGTGGCAATGAAAAACACTTTGGGTTTTTTTTTTTTATCACACAGGACTGAGCCACGGGTCCTTCTTCTTTTGGATTTTATGATATCACATTATTTCTATGAGAAGTTAATTATAAAAGTAAAGGTTTGATAAGAATAACAGCCTTGCGGTACTGCAAGTTAATGCCTCTGTGGGCTTAATAAATGATAAAACAGTTGGCCTTTCACATCAGCGGTTTACACCAGTTTCTCCTGTATTGTTCACTCATGAGTAGACAACCGGAAGGACTCCAGAAGACATATCAGTTTCTTTATGCAGCAATATATAACCACCTTAATCTGTCATTTGATATTTTTAGAGTTCCAAAAGGTTTCAGATTGTATTACTATAATTCCCTCACAAGACAAGACAGACTTACAGTATTACAAAATACTTTTTTACAGACTAGAACAGTAGTTTCTACATTGACTCATTGTAAGCCATGTTTTTATGAAGAAAAACAGGCCCAGGGCTCAGTTCTGTGATGCAAAGTGCAGGCGCCACGTCAGATTTGTAAGCATTTGGATGAGTTAATGCTGGAACGAATGACTGGAATGAATATCCTGGAAAAAAAAAAAATTGGCTTCCGTTTTGTAGAAAGTTTCAGGTGAATCATGGCAGAGGTTGACTGTTTCACGTTTCATTCTTTACATGAGCAGAAACTTCAGTCCTCCCTGATCATTTTGCAGGTCCCCACTGATGTGTTTCTACCTTTTTCAGATCTGTGGGCAAAATATCATAACTGATTACATTCCAGGTTGGAGATCCAACAAATGTGCAACTAAAGCTGACTATATAGCATGAATTCTAGAGGTTTGTCCCTCTGGGAGGTTATTTGTAGGAGGTCCGGGCCTCTCTCAGTGACCTGTCATATGGCATGGAGGCGAAGAAGGAGTTCCTCAGCTGGCAGTTGATGAAGAACACAATGAGTAGGATCAGCAGGAACAGCAACAGGCACATGACTATGTAGGTGATCAGGTCCGGTTTGTGCAGCTCTCCCTCCCGGAGCCCCCCTCCTCCTCCGCCCCTGCCCGTGGTGGGTCTCAGGAGGGCTTCCACGCTCACAGAGCCGCTGTTGGAGGCGTTCAGGGAGGAAGGGGCGTGCGTCGTGGTCTGAGCCATAAGCACCAGGTGGAAGTCCGGGGAGTCGGTGGAGTTTAGGAGGATCTGCCTCAGCATGGCGGCTGGGGGGCGCACCGAAGGTCGGCTGAAGACCAGATAATAAAAAACAAACAGAAAAGCATCGGGAGAAATAATATATTTCCAACTGACGGCTTAGGTTAATTAACAATTCATAGCAGAATAAAAAATGAGCAATTAGAGAGTTAACATAATACTATTTAGGAACGTTAGCAAAACCCACCAAAGTATTCTGGAGTTATTGTAAAGTAGCTCAAAACTCGAGATGAATGATTTGTTGTCTTATTTGTTTATTTATTTATTTATTTGCTGGAAAAAAAGGACACTTACTTTAGTGTGAGCTGCGAAGATTTCCGCAGGTGATCTAGAGAAGTCCAAATCTGGGATCCGCATTCCTCTGCGTCCCCTGCTCTGTTCGCTCCAGCGCCGCCAAGGACGAGCCGCCTGCTCCTCCGCCGCGCGGCGACAGCTTCTTATCGGCTCCCACACAAGCTGAGCGGCTCCGAGTGGCTGCAATAACTCCCTGTCCCCTGTCACAGTGAGCGGACGGCACCAAATCCACGCCTGGAGACGAAACCAAAGCAAAACATCGCTTTCACCTCGATCCCAAATGCATTAAACTGCCCCTTCTGCAAGGAATGGAACAATATCTAGATGGATTTGGAGTTTGAAGTTGAGCGCCGGTGCTCATGCATGTAGCCTGAATTGCGCGCCGCAGACCTCCTGCTTGCGCGCACAGGAGTCAGGGATGATCGCCGTTGCTCGCGCGTTTGATTGCCCTTTTTATCCCGCAAAGAATCGATGAGTGCTGATTTGATACTGTTCCTACGGCCTGCCCTTAAGAGTTCATCGATCTGGGTCTCCTAAAGCGAGGTAGAAGGAGGGGGACTGATAGATAACAAACCACAAAAGCGCACCAGGTCATAGACAGCTTCACATCCTCTCTTTGGGCTGCCTGCGTGTGACAGAGAGGGAGAAACAGAAGGAGGAGGAGGAGGGAGGGAGGGAATTGCAGATCAGGAGGCACGCACATCCCCGGACATCATGTCTCTGATGTTCCCTCTATTTTTTTTCCCGTCTATCTTTTTTTGGTCTGTGGAACTAGAAAGGTCCGTTTTCAGATTGGTGACAGGAAGTCCATTCCAAACTCTGGTTCATTTCTGGGCCGGCATGGGGAATGTCTCACACTGGAGTGATGAGAGAGCAGTGGAAAGGTGTTAGACTGGAGGCTGCATGTATTACCTCATATGATTGACCAACCAGTAGAATAGATCTTTATTTCCCAAATGATAAGTTTCAAAGTGAATAGAATACAACATTTTGTGGACACCATACAATAAATTGTTAGGCAATCAATGAATAAACATAAATCACAAGAGTCAAAAAAAAGCACAGGAGCTGAGACTTTAGGTGTGTTACACAAATATTTAAGAGAAGCAGCTGATCTGATGTTGGAAGGAAGATTATTTCACAGCCTCCTCTCATTTTCAGTCAGGATTAATGGACAATCAAACAACCTTGATTGAAGATTTGATGGGGCTAAAGTGAGTGCATCAATTTACCAGGCCACTGATGTCAATGGGAGTGTGCCCTGGATGCTGAATGTATGGCAGCCAAGGAAAGTTCAAGAGACTGTACTGTAATACTACCATCATAGAATGGGGTGTTGGTAAGCCATACTGAATCACCTGCAAACAGGAGACTGACTCATTCTTTATTCAGGAAAAGAGGGAGATGGTATCTTCGCTTGATAAAACAAAGCATGAATTGATGTTTCTATAAAACAGAAAGGGACTAAAGTGGTTTCTTGGAGACAGATAACAGATGTAAATGGTCGTTTTTATAACACCTATGATTCAAATGGATGAGACAATGTTACTGGAAATTTTCTTCCGTGCAGAAATGAGCAATCTGTTTTACTGTAATTTAGCAGAAAACATTTAAGAGCCTTCTAGTTGCTAATCACTGCCAAGAATTGCTATTGAGTCGTCCCTTTCTATGATAAGAGATCGGTGAATCACCAGCGAGGCATTTTTAAGACACTCAGGTAAGTTTTTGAAGTAGATTAAGTGAGAGAAAAGAGAAAAAGGATCAGTCCATGTATCGACACCTGCAGTAAATGACAGATTTGAAGTGCCAGGCATGAGTCTATCTCCTCAGTTATCACAGAAAACCTTCTGTTTGATAAGACGAAGCAACAATCCCTGACAGATCCTACAAAACTGAAACATGTTTTATTTTTTTCACAATCTAAATTTAGGATATCATTGACAACCCTGAGGAGAGCTGGGTTTTTCTCTTGGAGGAAAAAAAAATCTGTTGCATCCAGCAGATACTAACACTTCTTCCCACCCCCAGATTTTAGATATAAGGACATAGATCAGGTCAGTTTGTGAGCCCTTACTTGGATTCATGGTTCTTCAGGTTGTTTGGTGTTTGATTGAATCAGTTTTACACTTTTGGGTAAAAAAAAAAAAACGCCCTAAGAGACTGATTTATTTACAACCACCAGGCTTTTTTGAAAAATACCAGGGGTTATGATAATATCAGGAACCAGAGTGTTTTATAGTTGCTCTCTATAACAAAAACAATATTAGAAATAAGTGGACCTTGGCTTTGTTGGGTTATTTCAAAATCCTGATTTATTTATGTTGATTTGTTTGCTCTGTGTGAAATTCATTTGACATTACCTGATACTTAAATGAAGGTGCTAAAGATGGAGCCTGGGAGCCAGTTTGCTCTCACATGATGTTTCTGACATAAGAGTGCATACAAGAGGCTGCACTGTTTCATATTCATCTGCACCTGCTGTCTCTCAACAGAATGGTATGGTAGGGGCACAGAGCACAAGGACAGAGGGACACAACACGCACATGCATCTACACAGACGCTCACACTCATCGTTCATTATACTAATACAGTGTCCCATCGAAAAACAACACAATAGGCCACAATGACACAAATGTGTTTACCTAAATCATATACCAAAAGAAATCTGAAAATTATGCACAAATACTTTGCTCTGTCTGGGTGTTCTGCATGTGCTTTACAGGATATGCAGCAAGAGGATTATAGCTATCTGGTGTTTTGGGTGATTTACATCTCCTTGGAAATCTCCAAACAGCCTTGTTTACATACATAAAGGAGCAGAAGTTATTATGATCTATATGGAGATTATACTATAAGGCGTCATCTCTTTATTATGCTTTAATATTTTTTATTGCAGTGTTTTTTCTTTGCTTTGACTTGCTTTATGTTAAGAGGATTACTTTTCTTTGAAACCATATGCTCTCAGTTCCGAACAATTTTTCAAAGAAGATTAGGATTTCACGTCCAGCCAAGCAAATTACGTATGTTTTTGCACATGTTGCAAAGGAATAACAAAGCTTTTTGGCATAATGAGAGGCCGGCTTGTGCTGTACAGATATCTCAAATAAAGATAAGTGTGGTAATTTAGCGAGTTAAGCAGATGTAGTAGTTTTAAACGAGAGATAAATACAAAGTATTTTTTGTGCAGCTGATAGTACAGACTTCAAATATGTGTGAGTTTTGTTTCTGAGCATGGTGTGCTCACATAATGAACCCTATTATATCGTATTATATCTATTTTCTTCAAGCATTTTTAAATGACTTTACGGAGGGCTTAAGGCAGAACAAGGGAGCTTAGTTGGACCAGATTTAATTAGTATGAGCACCCATCGGGTGGGGTAATATCAGCCTCCACTGATGTTGGGTTTTTTGTAAGCAGAGGGATTGCAGTGGAGTTTCTTTCACCACACTCACCATTATTGAATCTGTTTAAAAAGATCTTTGCATTATGGGGTGAAAGTGGTTTGAAAAACATCAGATTTGCTTGCTAAGATACCTGATGCTTGTAAAGAAATGATAACTACTGAAAGCAGGAAGAATTGTATTGTTGTACACTGTGTGAATGAATTCCTTTTCAAAAACTAAAAAAATGAATTCCTATAGCCAGAAACCTGAAAAGTACTTAAGCTTCAAGTTAAGTTGTAGCTTACATCACTGACCTCCATTGCATTACATTTTATAGAAATGTTTCCTGTGTGATGGCAGAAGAACCATTTAGTTTTCTTCCAGCTTGGTTGAAATAACCGTTTATAGGCAGGTTCCAAATGTGATATTTTGGAAGACCTCTTAAGTCTCATAAAACCTCTGTTTCCATAGATGAAGGAAAGTAAATCAGAAAATCTCTACTGGTTGTTCGAAGTAGCACTCAGCTTTCCACATTGATGTCTACAGTCCCATTTAACAGACGCACATCAATATTGTTAAACTCAGATTAAGATTAGCCCAAGGCTGTTTGTGAAATGAAAACAAATGGATATGATATTTGCAACACACATGAGAACTCCTGGATTCTTGGTTGGAATACAGGTCTTGGGTCTTTTTGAATATAGATATGCATCAGCTCTCTTGGTGTACTTGCCTTTTCTCATCTAGTCAGAAAACATTATTATTGTGTTACTTGTTGTCGCTTAGGTGCTAGTTTTCATTTGCATGGTTGTCTTTTCTGTGATGCCCTGTGACACACTGGCAGCCTGTCCAGGGAGTACCCTGTGCCAGCCCAGTGACAGCAGGGATAGTCACCAGCCTTAACAGGATCCTATATGGACATAGACAAGAAGTTTTACAGTGAGGAAAATAATATTTGAACTCCCCGCTATTTTTCAGGTTCTTCCACTTAAAAATCATGGAGGGTCCTGAAATTGCCATTGTAGGTACATGTCCTCTGTGACAGACATAATCTAAAAAAAAATCATTAAAAAAAATCCAGAAATCCTTGCTGTGTGCTTCGGGTGATTGTCATGTTGAAAGATCCAGCCTCGACTTATCTTCAATGTTCTAACTGAGGGAAGGAGGATTTTCCCCAAAATCTCACCGTACATGGCCCCGGTTATCCTCTCTTTAATACAGTACAGTGGCCCTGTCCCATGTGCAGAAAAAAACACCCCCAACGCATGATGCTACCACCTCCATACTTCACAGTAGGCATGGTGTTCTTGGGATGGTACTCATCAGTCTTCTTCCTCCAAACACAGGTAGTGGAATTATAAACAAAAAGTCAAATTTTTGGCCTCATCTGATCACATGATTTTCTCCCGTGAATCCTCTGGAACATCCAATGGTCATTGGCAAACTTAAGATGGGCCTTGAAATGTGCTTGTAACCTTCCTCGCCATGCATGATTTCAAACCATGATGTCAGCGTATTACACATTAACACTAGCCATGGAAACAGTGGTCCCAGCTCTTTTCAGGTCATTAATCAGCTCCTCCCACATAGTTCTGGGCTGATATCTCACCCTTCTTAGGCTCACTGAGACCCCAAGAGGTGAGATCTTGCATGCAGGCCCAGTCCGTGGCAGAGTGATAGTCATTTTTAGCTTCTTCCATTTTCTAATGATTGCTCCAACAGTGGAACCTTTTTCACCAAGCTGCTTGGTAATTTCTCCGTAGCCATTTCCAGGCTTGTGGAAGTGTACAATTTTCTCTCTTGTGTGTTTGGACAGCTTTTTGGTTTTGGCCATGTTAGTAGTTGGATTCTTGTATGGGGTGGACAAGTGTCTTTATGAAGCTAACGGCCTCAAACAGGTGCATCTAATTTAGCATAATAAATGGAGTGGAGGTGGATATTTTGAAGGTAGACTAACAGGTCTTTGAGGGTCAGAATTCTAGCTGATGTAGCTAGCTGTGTTCAAATACTTAGTTACAGTTGTATCATACAACTAAATAGTTAAAAAATTAAATAATGTGATTTCTGGGTTCTTTTTTATATGTCTCACAGTGGAAATGCACCTATGATTTCAGACCACTCCATGATTTCTAAGTGGGACAATAGACCTTTTTCACGACAACCGGAAGCTGCGTCTGAAAGGGCTGGAGCACTTCCTGTTTTACTCTGAAAAATGTCTCTCCTCCGGTGCTTTTCGTCATCCTTACTTAGTTTGCCAACACTTTCTTTCGCGG